GGGGATGGTCTTGTCGGAGCAGCTGGTGGCCAGGAAGGTGCCCGAGGGGTCCAGCTGCACCTGGGGAGGGAAGGGTGGGGGGACACGGCGGGGGTTTGGGGACCTTCAGCACCCACCCAGCCGCCCGTGGTGGGCCCGGGAGCGCCCACGCCCGGCTCAAACCACCCTCGTACCTTCAGCAAGGCGCCGTCGTCGCCCTGCGAGCCCTTGTAGCAGCATTTTTGCTTCCCGCTGGCGGTGCCGTACACCCTGCAGGGGGGCGGGGGGTCAGACAGCAGCCAGCCCCACGGCGGGGGGGCCGGCACAGAGCAGCGCCTTCACCTGACGTTCCTGTCCTGGCAGGCCACGGCCACGTATTTCTGCGTGATGTCGATGTCCATGTCGTACAGGGTGGTTTTCTCGGCGACGTGATGCGTCCTGACGAAGCTGAAGCCGTCCGGGAGCTGCAGGGAGACGGGAGGAGCCGCCCCGTTGCCTTCTCACCCGTCTAATTTTTAGGGGAGAAATAGCAGATCCTGGTGGAGTCGGCCTCTCACCCACCTTCTGAGCGTTGCGGAAATAAATACTTTTATCGGCGCCGCAGCTTATCAGCTGAAGGTCCCCGTTGCCTGAGGGAAGAGAGCACAGGGAGAGGCAGTCGTCCCAAATCCACCACCGAGTGAATCCAAAAAAATGGTTCTTTATGAATGAATCCATAAAAAAAAAAAAGATTTTTTTAAGAATTAGGTGCGATCCAAGGGCGGGATCTCCCTGCTATGGCCCCCTCCGACATCCTCCTCACCTGGAGGCGCCTTTTTTTAACCAAAGAGCCTCCTCCAACGCAGATTTTGAAGTTCAAGGACTTAAATCCAGAGAGAAAAACCCATTTTTTGAAAGCAGGACGAGGCGATGGGGGAATTCAGCCGCAATTCAGCCGCTTACCCGCAAATTTGACCGACGTTATGGCAGAGGAGTGATCGTCCAGGGTCTGCTCCAGCCTGTAGCTGCTGTCCACGTTCAGGACGTGGATCAGCCTGTCCCTGCTCGCCGAAGCCAGCAGCGCTGCTCCTGAAACGAGAGGGTTAAAACGGCGCCGAGCTGAAGGTTTTGGTTGAGAAAACGGCGAGTTTGCTGCCATCACCTGTAAAGATTTTGGTGCGAGCTGGTTTTTCAGTTGGGTGTTAACAGGGATGGTTACCCCCAGCATGGGATTTAATCTGCGCGGCCCCAGAGCTTGTGTCCAGGTCCCAGTGGCTCCTCAGGGGAGGGGCCTTTCCCCACAAAGCTCATTTTTTGGGATGTCTGAGTTTATTTGGTGAAGGAGAGGGGCAAAGCTCATCACCGGGATGGAGCTTCAGGACGGAGCGGTCTCCAGCTCTTACCGGTCTCCGGCTTCGAATACTCGAGGCAGAGAACTTCAGAATCGTGCGCCTCCACCTTAGCCACCTCCTGCATGAACTGCAGTTCGTGTATCCTGCGAGGGAAGCGCCGCGGTGGCTCCCAGAACCCGGGGAAGCCACTGGGGAACGGCACCGGGGGGCTCCCGGCAAACCGGCACCGGCTAAAACATGGGGGGGGGAGCCCCCCCCGGGGCCCCCCTCTCCTCCTTCGGGTCCAGGCCCAGCACGGTGCCACTTGCCTGAGGGTTCCTCCTCGGTCCCCTGAAGCCAGATGCTCCCCGTCGGGGCTGACCTGCATCACCCGCACCCCGGATTTGACGTCCAGGTGCCCCACGGTCTCGCTTCGGCCGCCGGCGGAGTCCTGGAGGTGCTGCGTGTTGTTGTCCACGTAGATGATGTTCAGGAGGGTCTTGGGGTGGGAGGGGAGGGCCCCGTCAGAGCTCAGGGGGCTCTTCGGGGAGGAGGGGACCCCGCCCACGTCACCCAAATGCTCCCAACTTCCCCTCTTTCTTTTTTCCCCGCTTCCCGCTCAAGGAACACCAGGATTGGAGGAGCACAACGGCGTCCTTTGGTGGTTCAGACAGAAATAGCCAACGCAGGGGAATGAAATGCTGTTTCCAGGCTCCCTAAAACCACCAAAACCCACTAAAAACCGCCA